AAAAAAAAAAATCCCCTTTCAAGTTAAATTGAGATTGCACTTGAACACCATCCAAGAGCAGAGCTGAACTGAATTATGATAATTAGAAAGCTGTGCCTATTTTAAAAAAAAAAAAAAAAAAGCACAGTTGATGCATTTTTTTTANAAAAAAAAAAAAAAAAAGCACAGTTGATGCATTTTTTTTAAAGAAAAGTTCATGCCAGAGAATATAAGTTCAATATGTTCTCACATAATTAACATTTCCCACCATTAGCGGCAGTTTTTCAGTTTATGTATCAGTAAGAACAACAGTGTTGTATATTCCCAGTCAAGAGTGTTTCAGTTACTTTTACACATACATCTAAACCTGTCAGATGCCTAAAAGCAACCAGAGTTCCCCACTAGAGATGATGGATGCTTAACTTGCTCATCAATAAGCCAGCTTTTTCTTTTAAACCTATTTTCCAGGGTACCATGCCTTCAAATTAAAACTGTTAATGAAATCCTAGGACAGAGGCTTCAAAACAAATGTGAATCATGAAAAAGGGTAGAAAGCATTGCATCAGGATAGTAAAGATCAGTTTCAAACAAGGGTGGGGGGCAGGGTGAGTGCAGCGAGTACAACACAGCCTTCCCTTGACCTGCCACAAAGGTAGAAAAAACGCAGCTTTTTACAAGAACCCAACCCCTACTCCCCACCACCACTGCCACCATTATCCAATCAGAAAAGAAACCAGTGAGTTTCACAGTTAGCCAAGACTCCCAGACTATTGGAAACTATTTTTTTCGAGAATCCTCTCAACTATGCAAAAAGTCAGTGGACCAAAAGAGAATTTAAAAGCTAAGAGTAACCTACCCTTGTAAGAAACATAATCCTGAAAAACCCACCCATCAGGGCATCCCATTTTTGCTCTGACTAAAATAAAATACATATTTCAGAATTATCCTATTCTGTACTACTACAAAACTGGTATGTATTTGAAAAAATGGTCACATTTCTATTCCAAATTCAAATATTCACAAAGCTTATAATGAGAATCTTACAGACTGAGGACACTCAAGAGTTCACAGCTTTGAAACAAAACAAAATAAAAACGCACAGAAAAACATTCCAAATATAGATCCAAATATACTAGCATTCCACAAAACTATCCCAAGAGGGAAGCCCCAGAACTTCCCTGATTTCAGATGTACACAGTAATTGCAGTAAAACAAGGTCTAAATAAGGTGTCTGTCAAGAAACTCAATCCTGAAATATGAAGTACTTAGGACAGACTTGAATTACCTGATTTTATGACTTTTATGAATATGAAAGAAAATATATCACTGATGTGGTTCAAACACTCAACTCTAGATGCAACTTAAATATTAATACCACAAGGATATCTATGCCTTATTATAAAATAAGAAAAAGCACCATGAAGCTATAAAAGATTGTGCCAGCCATCAATCAGTCCCCAAGTAGCCCAGAAGCACAGCACAGGTTTGTCCAAGGGGAATAAACTTACAATATACATTTCTGCCTGGGTTCAGAAGTTGGACATTAGCAGTTTGCAGTTCCAGTCACCGAACTTCAAAGGGGAAGCTGTAATGCTCGCACTGAACAACAAAAAGGTTTGCTTGGATTTTCTTGCAGTTCTACAGAGAAATCTGGACACTTGTTTTGGCCACATTTTTCAATCTTTGGAGAACACAGATCCTAAAGTTTTATCACTAAACAGATTCAACCTCTAAACATGGCTTTCATATTTATTTAATTTTCCCTTTCACAGTCTCCTTACTAGGTACAAGAAAAAGTGCCTAAAACAGAGCTTAAAAGTATTATCCACCTACTGTTTGTATGTAATACAGTCATTTTTAGGTCCACCACATCATACACACAGTTATTTGCACCAACCTTTTGAATAAGACACCACAATTTTCATTTGTAGACAGCATAATTATGCTCACAATTAACACATAACATACGAGATTAGAGAGAATAGTAATCCCCAAATGCCCAGGCTCTTGTATGACCACCATGTATGAAAGATCAATCCATTTCTGAAGCATCCAACCTTAAAATATTGTAAATGGCACAGCTCATTTCTTCAAATGTCTATCTAACATTTGGGATCTACATGCTTTAAACTGCTCACGTTACATACTTTTCTGCTGAAAACGTAATGACAAATATGATCTAAACACCAATGATACAAGTATATTCTTCCCAAATGTTCCCGTTAAGAAATGCCCTCAGAATTGCTGCTCTGTATTGTGAGAACCAACAAAACACAAAATTGCTTATAAATTGCTGGAGCTTAAGCAGGGGAAAAAAACTCGAACATCTTTTTCCTTATGACTTATTTGTTCTTTTTCTAAATAAAAGGGGACTCCAGTCTCCCAAGTGAATATACCAATATATAATTCCTGCTGTACAAAGTAAGTGGGAGGAAAAGAGGAAATGGGAAGGGGAGGAAGAAGCCCACTCCCCCCAGGCTGCCCTCCCAAACCAGCCTTTATGTGTAATTAGTTTGCTGCTGGGGCCTGGGCACACATTGTACCGCAAGGCAAGGAAAAGCCTCTCAGTGAGAAATTCCTATCACTCTGGCTCAAACTAAATTGGGATGTCCTCTCCCTTTAAATTAAATTTCATTAAGTATATGTCATGGTGAGTCCTGGTTTTTGTTTTGGGAAAAGAAAAGAAAAAAACCCTCCAACCCTCCAATAATCTCTCTCAGGCATGTTCCCTGGAGTTCATTACTTTATAAAGGATCACACAGAGGAGGAATTTACACAAAGATTCTTTCCTATAATTTTCTTTACTCCCATTGTCAAGGCAATGTGTTATACTGGTTTTGTTTCAGACTTGTTTAAAAATAAAGTTCTAATATTCCCCTAAAACTGCAGATCAAATAATATTTACCATTAAAGTAAAAATAAAAGTCTACATTAGCACTTTGATACCATCAGCAAGAACCTATAATGGATATAACTTATCAGTTCATTTTTTATACCAACAATAAATAAAAGAATTGGTAACTGTTTAAAACCTGAAACCTGAGAGTTCAACACAGAGCTGCACATACAAAGAAACAATAAACAAAAATATCTGCGACCATTTATGGAAACAGTGAGATTAGAAAAATAAGCCTTTCCCCAAGAAATATTCAACAATTCAAAACCTTACTCCTGACAGAGATTCAACGAATCCATTTGTCTTTCCTGAGTCACTTTGTAATTAGTTCTACTATTTCCTTCTAAAGAGGAAAAGATTTGTAAGTAAGTTGGATTTAAGTCTGGCCCTTATAAACACTGAGATATGCTTGGGCCCAAAGACCCTGCTGTTTACAGAAGGGGAGCACAAACCGAACCGGGAAAGGGTGAAGCACCGGGCACAGCCTCAACACTGTTCCCCAATCGGTGCCTCAGAGAAGCAGAGAAAGGAGCCCACTCCTGGCTATGACAACACAGTGGATCACATCTCCCCGAAGGGAGGAATGTGTCTACTCAGGTAACCACTGGAGGCACCCAGCGCACCCCAAACCATCAGACCACCTGAACTTCCAAAAACAATGAAGGTGGCAGGTGGGGAGAAAGAAACCTGTGGTTGTTGTGAACTGACAGTGTTCTGCTCCTTTGCAATACGTGTAGTGTTTTTAAGACTTCTTTTTACTATTTTGAAATGTGGCAGGCTTAACAGACCTTTCTGTCCCAAGACCTGGGCTCCTTCCAAGGTACTGTTTTTAAACATGGCCTTTTTTCATTCCCTGCTCCTGGAACATCATCTGTCTCTAAGTTTCCAGGGCTCACTGAGGTCAATTTTCATTTCTGCAAATCACAGGAAGCCACTTGCTTCTAAGAAGTTAACAAGCCACCTGAGAAACGCTGGTGGCTGGTATTTCATTGTTTCATAAATATTTTTATACAGTGACACTATCCAACTTTAAATAAATCTTTTTTAAGAAAGAGAATTTAAAAGCAAACAAAATTCTGATCTGGATTTCATTTACTTTCATGAGAAGATAAAGGAGGTGTGAGCCCTCATTGTTTTCGACTCATTAAAAATATTGCTTTGATTTTTTTTAATACAAACGTTATTTTTCAAAAAAAAAAAAAAAGAAAGAAAGAAAAGTCATAGAAGTTGAACTTTCTTTAAAGCAGGCTTCTGGACTTTTGAAAACAAGTGTTGCTGTTACGAACAAAGACTAGAAATGTACCCAGATTTTCTCCCCTCCTGGGGATCATTTCTCTTCCAATAAACAAATCCCCCAGTATTTCCTACCGAAAGGGAAGGGAAGTTTTCCAGGGAGAGTCTCCTCCTGGGTTTGGTGGTAACTGCGACTCAGTCTTTTTTGGACACAATGTTTCTGCTGACTCCTGAAAATTTTCCACTTGAATGTGCAATGAAGCGGCGGCGGCGGCGGCAGCAACAGTCCTGGAGAAGCTGCAAAGACGACCGTGCCATTTTTCATCTTTGGGACGAAGGAGCGAACCCCCCGCCAGCGGCACAAGTTGGCGCAGACCCGGGCCCGCCTCGGGGGTCCCTGGCGCCGGGAGGCGGCGGCGAAACTAGGGGGGGTCCGGGCCGGCTCCGGGCTCCGAGGCGGCGGCTCTGCCCGCCCGCGTTCATTCCGAACTTCTGGCTCCACCGCGCACCCCGTGCAAGGCGCCCGAGGGTGTGTTCGTGTGCGCGCGTGCAGGCGGCGGGAGAGGGGGCGCGCGGGGGGCGCGGCGTAGTCGGCCGGGCGCCTCCAGGGCGGCCGCCGGGGGCCGCCTGTTGCCGCGCGGGCTCCCAACGCGCGGCCCAACTTGGCGTCCTGGCAAGTCGCGCGGCGGCGCCCGGCCGCTCACCTCGCAGGGGGCGCGGGGAGGCGGGTGCGGGGGCCCGGCCGAGGCCCTCCGCGTGCCCGCCCGCCGCCGCACACAAAGCAGAGCCCGCAAAGAAAGAGCCGCCCGAGCGGGACGCGCCGCCGGCCCCCCGCAGCCCGCGGCCCCGTGCGCCCCCCGCACCCCGGCATCCGCCCCGCGCGCCAACTTACCTCGGCCCAGGGAGCCGCCGCAACGCCCGGCGAGTCCAAGGCAAACTTCAGCGCCGCTTCCCCCGCCCTCTGCTCGGTGCCCGGCTCCCTCCCCGGCTCCCGGTCCCCGGGCCCGGCCACCCCACCCCTGCCTAGCACCGCTCCTGCCCCGGGGCCGGCTGGGCGCGCTGGGCTGTTGCCCGCGCTCCGGGCAAAGGTGGAGGGGTGGGGGGGCGTCACTGCATGGCCTGTCCCTGGACGCGGCCGCCCCGGGCCCGGGCCCCGCCGCGCGGAATGGCCCGCAGGGTGGAAGCGAGTCTGCAAAGTGCTTGGTGGGCGCCCGCGGCGGGCGGCGGGGCCGCGACGGCGGCAGCAGAGGCTCGGCTCGGCTCGGGCGGCGCGGTGCGGCGCGAGCGATGCTAAGAATGTTCGGAATGAGGACAGGAATGAAATGAACGCCAGGACCGAACTCGCTCCGGAGGGGTGGGGCCTCGGTGACGTCATGCGGCCTGCCGCCCGGGGCCGGAGGCGGGGCCTGCCGCCGCCGGTGACGTCATGGGGAATCGGGGCGGGCTCGGCGCGGCCGCTTCGTCGTTGGGGCGCGGGCTCTTGGCAGCGGGCGGAGTCTCGCGCCCACGGGGGAGCACGGCGCGCGCGGAAGCCGCCCTCCGTCTCCCGACGCGGGCTCCGGGCTTTGTCCGGAGCCGGGGTGGGGCGGGGCGGACGGGAGCAGCGCGGCTGGGAAGTCCGTGCGCTCGCGCGAAGAAGTCTGAAAACCTGGGTTCCTTCCAGGAGGCGGGCGCCGAGGTCACGGTTGCGCCCGGCGCGCCTGCGGTGCCTCAGTTTCCCTAATTTGGGACATTGAGACGCGGGCGGCTGCGTTGAGTGCTCCTGGACTCGCGGAAGTCTGCAGGCGTGGGGAAGAGAAGTTTCCTTTCTGGTGATTCAGATTCTTGCTCTCGAGCGCGGCGGACGCGTCTCCAGGGCAGATTCCCAGCCTGCCATTCTTCCCCTCTTCCCTTTCACTTTTATAAAAGTTCCCGGCTCTCACTCTAATCGAAATCTGCCTTACTGTTGGGAGAGGAAAACCTTTAGCGTAGCAGAGAAGGATAATTACAGAGTTCATAATATACTCTAGCACGGTCTTCTCCAAGTCACTTCAGAAACTAAGTTCACTCATCCCTGCCGCTTGTACTTTTCAAAAGTAACTTCCTAAGCTTTACAACGCTGCATCCGGCGACTTTCTTTATTGAGAAACGTCACTTCAAATAATAAAGGAATAATTTTAACCCTGCCATTGGAGGTAGTGACGCAAAAATGACATAGTAGACCCAGTCAGTAAATCAGAAAACAAGTAAAATTGACCCATTGAGGACAGAAACGTCTAAAGTTCGCACTTTATTGAGAAACTTCATTTCAAACAATAAAGGAATAATTTTAACTCTGCCATTGGAAGTAGTGACGCAAAAGTGACATAGTAGACCCAGTCGGTAAATCAGAAAACAGGTAAAATTGACCCACTGAGGACAGAACCGTCTAAAGTTTCGGGTGATTATTATAATTATTTCACAAGAAGCTGCAACGCAATTCCTGTACAGTGGACCTCATTCCTTCTAGGCATTTGGCCCTCTTTTTCAGTTGAGGCCTCAGGATTAAGTAACAACTTATTTTGTCCCCACGGAATCTCTATATCCCTATATATGGGTAACTGAGGGGAGTGGACTGTGACTTACTGCAACACATTTCTACAAAACATAACTTTTACTAATACGTTGTTTTCCTTCTTTTTCTTTTTTCTTTATTTTTATTATTTATTTATTTTTGAAGACAGGATGGTGCTCTGCCACCCTGACTGGAGTGCAGCGGTGCGTTCTGGGCTCACTCCAGCCTCTACTGCCTAGACTCAAGCCATCCTCCCATCTCAGCCTCCCAAGTAGCAGGGACTACAGGCACGCACCACCACTCCTAGCTAATTTTTAAAATTTTTTTGTAAAGATGGAGGTTCACCGTGCTGCCCAGGCTGGTCTCAGACTTCTGGGCTCGAGCTATCCTCCTGCCTCGGCTTCCTGAATTGCTGGGATTATAGAAGTGAGCCATTGCACGCAGTCTCATTAATACATTTTTAATTTTAATTCTTGTTGAAGTAATTGGAGTAACAGGCAGTTGTAAAAAAAAATCATAATAATAAATCGTGTGTTCACTTTGCCCAATTCTCCTCACTGGTAATGTCTTCCAAAACTCTCATACAGTATCACAATTGGGATATTGACATTAATACAATCCACCAATCTTACTCAGATTTCCCCAGTCTTACTTATACATATTCATAGGTGCCTGTATTTAGGTCTATGCAATTTCCTGACTTGTGTAGGTACCACCACAGTCAAGTACAAGTGCATTTTATTTCTAATTCACAGGCAATGATAAGGAAATATAATGAGGTTCACAATAATGAACCCAACCACATTGGCACTGGTTTTGGGAATGTGTTAGAAAACACATAATTAATTTGGTATTAAAACTGCACTAGACGTATCTCTCTCCAAATATCATCTTCTAAAATCACCAGGTAAATTTCAATGGCAGTGCCAACCAGACAGTTAGTAGGGTTTCTAAACCACTATTTGTTGGCCCACTATGCCTGGGCACCTTTCAGACTAGTTCCTGTCTTATAGCCACTTTGCAATACAATATCTCCCCATTCCATACTGAATTAAGGAAAAATTCTTTGGCCGGAGATTCAGAGTTCTTTATGACATGATGTGACTTCCTGACAGGTATTTTCTCCAACTTCTATGTGCATATTTTTTGAGACTCACCTTAGAAACCTCTTCCTCCAGGAAGACTGCTAAACTAAACATTTCCTCTCTAGGACCCTTGACGCTCCTTGCCCCAGATATGCTTCTTGTACTCTGTTAGTTACCAGCATATGTGTGTTACTGGAGATGCCTACCTATCTGAGCCCCTAAAAAGTGGTCTGAGTCTCATGCAGCTAAGTATACCCTGCCCAGGACATACACACAAATGGGAAGTGGCTCTCATTATCATCTCTCCACTCTGTTCTAAATCTTTTCACTCTCCGCAGCCACAATTGATCAATGCATAAGACCAGTGCATGAATTTAGGGCCCCAGCATCTGAGGGCAGGAACATTAACTGCAACCTGCTAAGATGACAGCAGATGCCATATAATGCATGCATACTCAGCACCTGGTGTTTTGCATTTGCCATTCCAATTAGTCCTCACAGTACCTGTGTAAGGTAGTAATTAGTACCCCCAGTTTACCCAAGGGAAACACCAAGATATTAGGGAGGTTATATGACTTGTCCATGGTCACATAGCCAGAAGAGTAGAGTCAGAACCTGAATTCCTTCTGATGCATGTTTATAACCTGTATTCATAACCCCTGACCTCTACTGTCACCAAAGCTGAAATGAATATAAATCAAAGCAGTAGAATTCCAGGCACTGATCTAAGTACTTTCCATGTATTGCCTCATTTGATCCCCACAGCCACCCTATGAAGTAGGTACTATTATTAGTGTCATTTTATACACAAACAAGCTGAGTGCTGGAGAGATGAAATAACTCGATCAGGTTCACATATTTAGTAAGTGCAAAGCAAAGATTCAGACTTGGACAGTCCAGCTCCAGATTTCATGCTCTTAACCTCCCCCTGAGCTGCCCACTAGACTGAAGACAGAAGATCAACATCCACAGGGGTGACCCACTTGGAGATGTAATAATCATATATATCACTAATGATTAAAAAAAAAAAAGAATTTGTTTCCCCCCTAACTCTTAGCAAGGAAGAAGCTGAAACAGTGGTCCACTTAGTGGTAACAAATCATGCTGAGACAAACTCTGAGTCACCCTGAAGCTAGAAAGGAGAGCCAGAGATAATGCATTAGAATTTACTCTAAAGATGTACCTGGGTCCAGAAGATATTGCTTTGGAAGACAAGGAGAGATGTATTAATAATGATGATGCAAGTCACCTCATTTCTAATTAGATTGAGCGTCTTTTCCTATGGGAGTATAAATTAGTACAACCACTCACTATGTGACCCAGAAGTTCCACTCTTAATAATACACCAAAGAGAAACTCAGACACATGTGCTCCAGGACACATGTACAAGAGTATTCTTTGGACATTTTTGTAATAATCCCAAATGAGAAACAACCACAATGTCCTAATGTAATAATCCTTTGTAGTGCTAGCGTAATAATTACTAGTGTAATTATAAATGAATTAGATATATGACAAGGATAAATGAATTCTGATATAATCATACAATGGAATACTATACAGGGATGAAAATGAACAACAGCTACATGCAACAACATGGGTGAATCCTTAAAATATACTGAGTAAAAGGAATATGAAATAAAAGAATCCATATAGTATAATTGTTTTTATATAAAGTTCAAAAACAAGGAAAATTTAGCAGCATTGTTTAGAGATACATGTTTAGAAAGAAGAAAAAAGCTCAATAGAAGAACAAAAAGAATGACCAGCAAATTTGGGTTAGTGGTTATCACTGGAGGGAGAGGGTTGTGATGAAGAAGAAAAACAAAGGAAGGGGCTTCTGGACTGCTGGCAATGTTTATTTTTGCCTGGTTGCATCATGAATGTGCACTATGATTCATGAAGCTATGTATTTATTTTAAGCACTCTTGTCTACTATTGTATTATTATTTCAAAATTTTGTTGGAGAGACAGGGTCTTACTCTGTCAACCAGGATGAAGTGCAGTGGCACCATCTTGGCTCACTACAGCCTCCACCTCCCAGGCTCAAGCGAGCCTTCCAGCTTACCCTCCTGATTAGCTGTGACTACAGGCATGCACCACACCTGGCCGATTTCATGTGGGTTTGTGTGTGTGTGTGTGTGTGTGTGTGTGTGTGTGTGTGTGTGTGTTTAAATAGAGATGGGGTCTCACATACCTCCCATGCACCAAGGGCTTCACTTGGTTGCGAGTCCCATCCCCTCTCATATTTTCATAGTTCTTTCTGTACACATTATTCCTCTCTCTTCCAGATCTTCAGCTTCACTCTTCTGGATCCTTTTCATTGGCATTTAAACAAATCTCTTTCCCATCTTAAACACAACAAAAAATAGCCTCCTGTTGTTCTAGCCTCATGCCCAGCTACTGTCCTTTCTCTTCCCTTTCATAGCAAAACTTCTGAGAGGAACTGTCTGACCTCATTGCTTCTATTTCTTTACCTCCTACTCATTTCTCAAGCCTCTCCAATTGGGCTTCTGCACCCATCAAGAATTGCATTCAAACAATGGTCACACTAGCCTTCATGAATCAGTGTAGCTGGTTCAGTGGACCTTTCATCTACAATCTTACTTGGAATATTTGACATTATTAACCACACCTCCCTGAGACAATCTGTTCGTTTAATTCCTACTTCACTGGCTGCTCTCTCTCATTTTGCTTAGCTGACCCGGTGTCCTCTAGCAAGCCATGAAATTTTGTAGTTA